TGCAAAATGGTAACACCTGTAAAATTTAAACTACAAAAATCCATGTCAGCTTGTAATCCAAGTATTGAAACTGCAATCCATCTATATGATCACACAATAAAACCAATTTTATTATATTGTAGTGAAATCTGGGGTACCTTTAAGATTAACTCTGTTGCTTGCAAGAAAAAAAGTGATTATCTATTTGAATTAATTTACATAAATGATTATTTGGAAAAATCACATTTCAGGTATCTAAAATATATTCTTAGTGTAAATAAAAAAAGCCTCAAATTTGGCAGTGTTATCAGAGGTTGCAAGATTTCCTCTTTATTTTTCTGTCATTATATCTATGGTAAAATATGTACACAGGCTTAACAAATTGGACGATGGGTTACTTTATGATGCTTATGTTTGTAATAAAATTTTAGATGCAGGAAACATTAATTGTTGGTATTCATCTATGAGATATGTCCTTCAATCACTTGATATACAAAATTTGAATACAAAGCTCAATAAATTAATTAAATTTGTAAAATGTAAACTTTGTAACAGTTTTAAAACATTTTGGGTGGTCAAAAGATCTGATACCTTATCACAAGGTAATAGTAAATTAGAAAATTATTTCAACCTCAAGACTGACTTCGTAAAGGAGGCTTATTTATCAATTAAAGATTTTAATATAAGAAGAGCTATATGTAAATTGAGAATAAGTGCACATGATCTTAAAATTGAGAAAGATAGATATAGTAAAAAATACATAGAGAAAAGTCAGCGTCTATGTCATCACTGCCTATCACATGGATCAAATTCTATTGAAGATGAGACCCATTTCACAGTAAGCTGTCCTTTATATAACGAACAGAGAAAATTATTATGGGATAAAGTAAACAGTTTTTGTAATAATTTTAAAGAATTACCCAAGGATAAAAAATATTTCTGGCTGTTCACAAATGAGCATTTACCAACTCTTATGTGCCTAGGCAATTATATAATTAAGTGTTTAGAAATAAGATCCAGGTGGATACAAAATATATAAAATAATATTTAATTATTATGAAATTATTGTTATAGTTATGTAAGTCACATGATGTGTTAGGCTCTGATCCTGTCCATAATATGATAGTATTATATTAGGATCTAGTTTTTCTTTTTTCCAATCATATTGTGCTTAATATTGTTGTAAATGATGCCCTTTATGGGTTCTTGATTAGATTAATAAAATTCTAAAATTCTAAAAATTCTGTACAGTAGTATGAACAAGCCTAAAGATATACCTACACTTTGACATACTGGTAACTGGATTATCCTTTTTCTATTCTTTAGGGATGCGGGGCAGGAGGATTTTTTTGTGAAATAAATAATGATTTTCGTCTGTTGCTACACATGCTTAATTTTTTCCCGCTTTTGGAGAATTATTTCCTGCATTTTTTGTTAAACCAACTTTAAGGTTTGCTACTGGGAGCTATTTTGATAATTTTTTACAAATTTGCATACCTTTGCACAAATTTACATATCTTTGTTCAAATCTGCATATCTTTTTACAAATTTGAATATATTTGTACAATTTTGCCTTGGAGAACATTTAGAAGAACTTTAAATATATTTGCATAATACTTTACATGCTTTAATGTTGAATCACATAAATCTGTAACAGCCTAACTAAGTGACAAACTGTATTTATTGAAAATAATTATTCCATAATGGCTAATTAAGCGTCGTTTGCAAAGATTTCATCCAAAATTCCATCTTTGTAATTCAATGTAACAATTTTGAAGAGAAAATGACCAACTTTCCATGAACAATGAGAGACCCATGATGAAAACACACTGTTAATTTGATTAACAGTTCTTTTAACCAGTGCAATTTTATTACCTATCCACTTGCCCTAGTAATGAAAATTGACAAGAATTATGTCCCTTTTCCCATGAAAAGACATACCACGTACACATCCAACAATTGTAAAAATATTTTTCTTTTTCTGTAAATCTAAACTTACATCCATGCATGGTGATCTTTCATAGATTGTCAAGGGTATCTGTAAACGCTGTATAAAAGCGATAATATATTTTTTCAACTTTTGAAATTTTGTTTTTCAATCATAATTTAATTCTTGGATAATTTCCAGAAGTTGAACCTATTGACCTTATTAGTGGTGTTTTGAAAGTGCTCTTGCCTTGAGGGCTGTCAGGTTACAGAATACAGGTCACGGGTGAGGCCTAAGGGTTGGGGACGTTAGAAGAAGGTCCAATTCTATGTATACCGACGACCATTTACCATCCCTTTAGCAGATGATGAAATAGAATAGCCGAAATTTCGACAGTAGACTTAGAATCAGTTTAACTCAGCCACATTCTGTATATACCAAACCAGGAGCCTGTAATTCAGTGGTTGTCGTTTATTGCTGTATATCATATTTCTCGTTTTTCGTTTATTGTTTTGTACATAAACAGGCCGTTTGTCATTTCGTAGCCTTTAATGGCTTGCTATGCGGTATGGGTTTTTTGCTCATTGTTGAATGTGACCTTTAGTTGCTAACTTCTACGTCATTTGCATGATCTCTGGTGGAGAGTTGTCTCATTGGCAATCATACCACATATCGCCCTATTTTTATATTTACTCAAGTAAACGTCCGTTGTAAAGCAGTTTAAGGTAGTATGGGTGTCTTTCGCCATCTTGGATTGTAAATAACAGAGAACCTAAGGTCCAGATTTTCAATCAAATTGGCAAAATTTGATGAAGAATGCAGATAACTCATGTGAATTTTCATTTAAAAGAACACATTTATAAGATTTTAACTTATAAATATTAATATTTCTACAAGCGTAGATTATTTTTGCTTGATTTTTAATGTTTTTAAATTGTCATTTCAAGGAGAGGTAACTTTGAAATAGTGTATTTTCTGAAGGAATCTACATGAAATTTTGCTGTTTCATATTTTAGCCGGAAAAAACGTACGGTGTCCCTATCTTTTCTTTTGATATTCTCTAAGCATTTTTCTAAAAGCTATCTTCTTATATTTTATTTTACAATTCTATCATTTAGTTTAACTTCTAACCACATAATGATGTTTTTTTCCTGTATAATCCATACAAAGTGTGTCATTTTGTCACAACCTGTAGCTTGAGAAAATGCTCGGTGACCTATCATTTTTATTAAATATTTGAACATATCACAATATATACTACGTTTTGGCAAAGTATGAACAAATTCTATCATTTTTATTTTATACTCCCATACCACCTTAACACAGAATTTGTGTTTCGAAATTCGGACAAATTACGATAATTTAACGTCCGTAGTCGAATATTAATTGTATTTATGGTATTATGATGCGCGATCTAGTGTTCTGGTGAAGTACATTTTGATCAAGGGGCTAAACCACAATTCAACGCCATTCTTAAGTCCTATTCCACAGCATGCATTTCCTATCATGATTTCCTTAATAGGGGGGTTGCTGCGTGAAAGGAAGCTATTAAGGAGGATTGGGATGGAGATCCTTTATTTTCTTTATTATTTATTTTTTAGAATATTTTTCTATATTCTTTTTTTACTTTGCCTATTTTCTCTTTTCTATATTTTTTGCCCTTTATTCAGGACTTTTTGCCCTTTATTCAGGACTTTTTGCCCTTTATTCAGGACTTTTTGCCAATTATTCTATATAACAGTAAACTCCATACAGACCCTCAATAAACCTAGGGTTACAAGTGGTACGTTGAAGTCCTCCCTTCGGAATAAATCTACGGACGCCGTCACTTTCGTGAGTGAAAATAACGGACAAAAAATTGCCACCAACAACAAAAGTTTAAAAATCGAAAGAAAAGAATCGCCGCAAAGTCGTCTGTGTTGGGATAACCGCGGGATAAAAATATCCACAGAAATAATATAAAATAAGGAGCTGTGGTATGATTGCCAATGAGACAACTATCCACCATGCAGAGTTAAAATGAAGTGGTAGCAAACAATTATAGGCCACCGTATGGCCTTCGACAATGAGAAAACCCTTTCTGTGCAGTCGGCTATAACAGTACCGATATAAAAATGTGAGACAATTCAAATGAGAAAACTAACGGTCTAATTTATGACAAAACAATTTACGAATAACAAATATGACAGACATGAACCAGCAACAAACACTATACTACAGATTCCTGACTGGTGACAGGCACATACTGAATGTGGCGGGTTAAAACATATTTGTAAGCCCTCAACCCTCCCCAAACCTCGGAAAGTGGTGTAGCAGTTAGTTATATAACCCTTACTCTTGTTCTAACAATCTCATATCATCGCCGATATACTTCTATCTCCATCCAAACCTAGAATTAAGCGACGTACGATAGATTATACAGAGGGGTTTGACATCGATGGCCCCGACCTATTTCGTACATCATCACATACTTCTCCGATAACCTTGCCAGATCCAGAGGCCATTCAAACTGCCTTTGCCTTCCTTACAAGAACGATCAGATACTCCGTACCAAACTCAACCACCAGGTCGGATCAAGAAAAAAAGGTAAAAGAACAACAGAAGATCCATCACTGCAAGAATAGGTCCATGAAGTCCGCAATATCTACCAGATAGCCGGACACTAAAACCCAACATCTATCAGTGGCGGATCTAGGGGGGGTTCCGGGGGTTGGAACCCCCTTTTCTTTGGACGATCAATGCATTTGAATGAGGACATATGGTTTGAAACCCCCCCCCCCCTCTTCTTTTCTCCTGGGTTAGGAACCCCCGTTTTAAAAATGGCTGGATCCGCCCCTGATCTATCTATCTAACAATCCATTTATTCCAATATTCCAAACGATCAATAAATGCATGTTAAAGTTATAGGTTGATTATATCTTTTCAATAATCCACGTACATGCTTTAAAAGATAAATTAATCCATATGACTGATCATGATCGATGTTTGCTTAACGAATAGTGACAAATGTCTCGATGTAGATTCAGATACAAATTTCATATTTCTAAACAGGTAAGTTTACAAAAACAAAATACTGTCAATACATTTATATAAACATACTTTATCAACTATCAGACTGAAAGATAACAGGGTTCAACATTGAAAATCAACTAAATCAGTTAGACTTGAGACTGGGAAAATTTACCTTCTTTAATATGGAAGGAAAAGTGCAAATTTACTTCCTTTTTTTTTAAACGAAAGGAATAGTAATGGAGGCTTTTTGGCTTTAAATTCATTAGGTGAGTTCATATTAAATATTTACAAAATATTATATAATACATAAAAAAGATACCACAAATTACCACAAATATTATACAGTACAACAGAGCCACTAACCACAAACTAGACCATGACAGTACAAACAAGTTAGATTATATTGTTACGTAAGCGCAGGTCTGTATGGGGTTTACAGAATAGAAAATATTGGGCAAAAACGCCAGAATAAAGAGCAAACAAAATTTTTAAAAAATAGAGAATATATAATGGGGTGCTGAAATATAAGAATAGCGAATAATAGGCAAAATAAAGAAATAATAGTCTTCAAAATTAAAAAAAATAAAGACTTTAAGGACCCCATCCAGACCCTTATAAGCAATCTTTGTTTTAAAGATAATTCCAAATTACTTTATATTTCTGACACTCTAGCTCATGGTGAAAATCGGAATTTTGTTAAAACATAAAGAACAGAGAGCCTGTGACTTACTGGTTTTGGGTTGCTGTCTGTAATATTTGTTTTTTGTTGATTGTTTTTGTCATAAATCGGGCTTTTAGTTTTTTCCTTTTGATTGCTTCACATTTTGTCATGTCAGTGTCTTTCATAGCTGACTATAAGGTCTGGGTTTTTCTTATTGTTGTACGGTGACCTACAGCTGTTTAAATTTACGTCATGTGTACCAGTCAGAGGGATAGTTGTCTCATTGACAATCATACCACACCTCCTTATTTTACAAAAGAACGAAACAGGGTCCAAATAGTCTGACTTGTTATAAAACAAAGTGTGCAGTGTTCGGTTGAGAGTCGAAATAATACAAATCAATGAAATCAATGACTGAACAACATTTCTACACCAATGTTCATAAAATCAAATGTTTTCAGAATATTGTATTTGAAGCTTTGTGGGCATCAATTTGTCGATTTAATGGTCACAAATTGAGTATGAAGCAGGTGATGCTTTTTTAAACTTTAAAACACAGTTTACAAAGAATTGTCTGTTGAAAAACCAAGATCCGCCTATTCAAATGTTAAAAAAACCAAGCAATTATAGTTAGAAAATGTGAAAAATTTTCAATTGATAAATTCAAACAAGTACCGTATCTTTAAATAACACTGTGTATCAGAATTGGGTACTAACGAAGCGGAGAGAAATGGAAAAAAAAGTAAACAAGGTAAGAATTCATTCAATTTAAAGCATTTCTACTGATTTGACGAGGGTACCGCTTAAGAAATGATTTTCTGATATATAATTCTTTAAATTATTAGACCGATAAGTACAAAATTAAGACAAGATTTTGTGTTATACTCAAGAACTTGCCACTTAGTACCTGAAAATTTCGAGGTCGATCGTCCTCTGTCGCCCCATTGGCAAGATATTCAACTGTTTTTCATTATTTTTCCAGACACTTTTTTAGATTATTATAGTGTGGCATCATATTTACTGAAATTTGTTGTCAAAATGAACTTTTTAAAAGAATATAGACCATAAAAAATAAAGTCAAGGGTACGGCAACTTGCTCATGTTGACAAATTTACTGTATGGCAACTTGTTTTCAACTGTATGGCAACTTGCTAATTTCAAAATATTTATTTGCCGTCTTTTTAAAGAAAATAAAGTATTAGGTTCAAATATCTAATTATATGCATTTGATAAAAATACAATTCGCTTGACACCATTTAAGATGTATACACAATATAAGGCTTGAACACAGTCCTATTACATCTTTTACATACCTGATGTGTACAATATGAATACGGCATATACAAAAGCTGGCAAATGTTGTAACTTTCGGAAAGGCATGTCACTGTTTTACTGACCTGTTGTTCTGCCCTGACGTAGCGTTAAATGTTACCCATGTCCGTCCGACCCGTCTCTCCCGTCCGTCCAGAAAGTCTCAATAATTGGTTTCCGTTCTCTAACTTTAATATGCCTTAACCAAATGTTTTAAAACTTACACGAAATGCTTATCACCACAAAACACAGATCAAGTTATAAATTGGGTAGCGTCACTGTTACCGTTCTTGAGTTATGCCCTTTTATAAATGAAAAAAATCTAAAGCTGTCGTTTCTGTTCTCAAACTTTAGATTGCCGCAACCAAATGTTTTAACCATACAACATTAGTCAGCATTTGCATATAAGTGATGAACATTTCGGGGATGGGTTGTGGGTAGAGGGAAGAAAGGAGGTAATGGCAGGAGAATTTTTCCGCATTGCATATTTAGAACCATTAAGTGAATGAATTCTCTTCCAACTTTCAGATAAAATGAAATATAAATGAATTATCATTCTCTGCAAAAAAAATGTTGTATTGCTACACCACGGCACCATGTTAAGGGAGGTTTGAGTGCTCACGAACATGTTTAAGCCCGCCTCAATATATATGTGTCTGTCCCTGGTCAGGAACATGTAATATAGCGGCTGTCGTAAGTTGCTGCCTGACATATTTGTTTATGATTTTGTCATAAATCAGGCAATTTTGATACGGTATGGGTTTTGTTCATTGTGAAGTGTATAGTAACCAATAGTTGGTCAAATCTATTTCATTTGGACTTTGTTTGAAAGTCCTCTCAGTGAAAACCATTCCACGTCTCCTTTTTCAATTAATGTTATTGTCTTGTTGTAAAAGGCAGATACAGCCAATATATTAGAATAAAAAACATTAATTTTCTTAAAAAAACTTCATCTCTATATAGTAAGAAATGAACAAGCTCGGTGGCTAACATTGTTTAAATTTAAAAAACTAGCTACAAAATGTATCCAAAATCAAAGATGTGGAACATATTCTATAATAATCATTTGGTAATTAATGCAATTAGTATCTCTTCCATGCCCGTGTTGAACATAAACAACACCCCTAATGCTCATTTTGGTTGTCATTGTGCAACACAGTTAATACATAGAAAACATAAAACATAGAACTCCTTTTGTCATATAAAACACTGTCAAACATCCAATCATACTATCCACACTGATCTGTGTCCACACTTGTTAAATTTAAAAAAATATTAACCTTAGATTAACCATTTTTGGAAAGAATGAAAGAAGAATCCGATACAAGGGATACAAATCCGGCTGTGGCTACGGCATAAACTATTTATATAAACTTTCTACTTGAGAATAAAGATGACCTTGTATGAAGTTTTTTTTGGTTGTCATCTTAATATTATATACTTATTAATACAATTCGCAAAAGCTAGCATCTTCGACTTGTAAGTTTAAAGAACTATAATGAAATAACATCTAATAAGGACAGGTTGAAATATTTTTGAGTCCTGATGGTGCATACTCATAAATTCTTTTGGAAAAATCCACGTTAATTTAAATGTTGATTTGATAGCGTTCATTTATTTATTTGCCCTCGTAAACAGTTTTGTTAAAATACCGAAATCGGTAAATTCTTATCGTGAACGAATAAGTCGGGTACACCTTTTTACACCCAGGCGTGCTTAAGTTGCACTTTTTTCTTCTTATTAAGAAAAATGATTTTAATTTTAGCATCTATCTAAAGATTAGTTTATTTACACACACACAAAAATAGGGCTTACTGTTGATTTTGAAACTCTATGAATTCACATTCATATTCAATCAAACAGATAGGCCGAGATCCATACCTTTATAAGTTTCAAAACAGAGAAGGTGTGTCTGAAAACAAATAATCACGTACTGTTATATCTTTTAAGGCAAATGCAAGTCTTACTTGTATTAATTATATAGTTTTAATTGGCACAATATCACATTAAAATTTAATGAGAAATATTATACATAGTAATCATGAAAATGTACTACTGTAACAATGAAAATTCGGACGAATACACTCCTTTTTACTACCCCTCCATCTACGAATTTAAGTTTAGGCCAAACAGCCTTAGCAACAGTCTTTTATTATTTTTTCACTGTAAATAAAAAGATTGATTGAATTTACTTAAACTAAAAAATACAATCTTATTTTCAATAAGAAACGAGAAAATTAATTCGAAACACAATTCATGATTTATTTCTCCTAATTTTCAATGAAAACAAAGTATTTTCTTCACTTTTCTTTTAACAAATTATTCATTTCAGAAATTTAAAAAATAAACAATGTTGAAGACCGTACCTTGACCTATAATGGTTTACTTTTATAAATTGTGACTTGGATGGAGAGTTGTCTCATTGGCACTCATACCACATCTTCCTATATCTATTTAACCCAGCACATTCTTTATGTATCTGTCCGAAGCCACGAGCATGTAGTTTGGTGGTTGTCGTTGGTTCATCTCTATCATATTTGTTATTTATCGTAAATTGTTTTGTTATGAGTTAGGCCGTTAGTTTTCTTGTTATATCCTCCCACAATTTTCATGTCGGGGCTTTTTATAGCCGACTGTAAGGTACGATTTTTCGTTGTTGAAGGCCAAACGATAGCATATAATTGCTAACATATACTTTATTTGACCCTGGTGGATAGTTATCTTATTTGCAATCATACAACATCTCCACTGTTTATATTAAAAAAAAAACAGCACCAACAAAAGATGAATGGTCGTTTTTTTTTATTGAACTTACAAAATTTCACCCTGACAACAAATAAGACAACAGTCGTTAGTATTATAACGATATATGAATGTATTTAGGATAATATGGTTGAAAAAAACCTTTTTGTCTTTAAAAACACAAAGTCAAATAGAGGTACGCAACGACGACTTCTGAACGAAACTAACGGCATATATTTTATAATATTTGATAAGTAGTTTATTTTGTATATTTGTAAGCCGGTAAAGCTTTGATACAGCCAAAATTTCGTCACTTGATATTATCTAAACAGTGATTAATTTCATATTTAAATTACAATATATTGCAAGACGCCGTACAGACAAAAGTTGTTATTTTGCAATTCGCCGTACAACGTCCTGCAATTCGCCGTACAATAAACAAACAATGTTTTGGTCCATATTCTTTAAAAACATCTTTATGACAACAGATTTCAGTCAATATGATGTCACACTATCATAATCTAAAAACGTGTCTGGAAAAATAATGAAAAA